AATAAAGGATTTTTTTCTTCCTTTCCTCACACCTCTTCCATTCCCTTTAATTTAAATATACATAAGTGTTATTTTAATTAACAATTTATATTTTACAATTTAATGTAATTTAAATTGTAAAACATGATTCACTTGGATAAACTAAAAAAATTAATAATGTAGCGTACTATTATTTGTTTAATTTTTTGTTGAGATCAATAAGCAAACAATTCATTTCAATGGATTGAAGCATGTTGCTTGAGTTTTGTTGCAAAATTTTCAACCGTTGGATTCCTATAGGAATCCTTTAGGATTTCATATTTAGTTTATGTAAAGACAAAAGACAAGTGACAGGTTGACACTCACAAACACATGAGATTATTTCAAAATATAAATTCGTTAGGAGTAGTAATATTTTATGTTCAAATTCATGTGAACCATTCCTTCCTTTTTTTCTTTTTTCCCAACTAAAAATGAAAAAAATGCTTAAAATAAGAAAACATTTTAATAAAGAATATATATATAAAAATTGGTGGCCCAATACAAACATGGGCCGGATAAGGCATAGAAAAGTGGGCTAATCCAACCTTTTTTCAGGACAGAAACAGATTATCAGGAGCTAAGCCAAATAAAAACATGGGTCGGATAAGGCCGAGAAAAGTGGGCTAATCCAACCTACTTCATAAACCCTAGTTTCCAGATAGTTTGTCTCTCTCCTTCCTCACGCTCCTTCCCGCATTCAGTTACCTGAGTTTGTCGCTGCAGAATGAAGGTGCGCATCGCACACCTGAAAACCCTAATTTGGTTGCATACTTCCCGTCTTTCCCTTTTCTTCTTCCATTATCTTTGAATTTCAATTCTCATATGCGTGTAATTCTCTCCTTTTTTTTTATTGCAGTTCAATATCGCGAATCCGACCACCGGGTGCCAGAAGAAGGTCGACATCGATGACGATCAGAAGCTGTAAGTTCCATATTTCCATTTTTTTTTTATAATTTTATTTCGACCGTTTAGCTGCTGAGAAAGCTTGGAACGGGAATGGGAGCTTAGTACATGGTGGTTAAATTAAAATCAACTTTTAATGGGAGTTTAGAGTTGATGTATAAAGTGATGATCTTTGTATGCTTTAGGTCATTGCTTCATTTTTTTAAATAATGATGTTGTTGTTGCCAAAGGTGATGGCAATTCTAATGCTGTTTCCCAATTTTTGTGTACAGTCGGGCATTTTTTGATAAGAGGATCTCACAGGAGGTCAGCGGAGATGCTCTGGGTGAGGTATGCAGTTCCTGTCGTTCTTCTGTCGTTAATCTTAGATTTATCCAGTGTCTGACCTATTCCAACTATGAAATATTACTTGTCGTGACAGGAATTCAAGGGGTATGTTTTCAAGATCATGGGAGGCTGTGACAAGCAAGGCTTTCCAATGAAGCAGGGAGTTCTGACTCCTGGTCGTGTTCGTCTCTTGCTTCATAGAGGTGGGTAGGTTCTGGAGCATCCTAAAGCAGAATATATATATATATATATATATATATATTTTTAAGTCCCTAATCTTCAATTAAGGTTTTCTGTAATTAGTGTCTACTGACTACCCTCTTGCAAGTGTTCTTTTTATTGGTCAAAGAATGCATGGTGATCTTCTTATTGTTGTAATCAGGGCAACAGTTTTGTTTATAATTCCTCTGTTCTCATGACATGGTGATATTTTCCTTTGTATAACATACTTCTATGGATGTGAGTTAAGCTTGATTCCTTTCCTTGTCTTCATAGTGCTTGTGAAAACTTTTGTGTGTAGGAATGTCGTATTTAAACCTTTAATTTTGTACAAGCAAGGTCTCTTTAGCCTATGGATTGTCTCATTGTGCTTATGCATGAATGTTATATGATATTTGGTCAGGTACCCCATGCTTCCGTGGATATGGAAGGCGTAATGGAGAGCGCAGGAGGAAGTCTGTTCGTGGATGTATTGTTAGTCCTGACCTCTCTGTTTTGAACCTGGTTATTGTGAAGAAGGGTGAAAATGATCTCCCTGGACTGACTGATACTGAAAAACCTAGGATGAGAGGCCCAAAGAGAGCTTCCAAGATTAGGAAGCTCTTTAACCTCTCGAAGGAGGATGATGTCAGGAAATACGTCAACACATACAGGAGGACTTTCACAACAAAATCTGGTAATGTGCTTTGCATTCTCCATCTTTTGTTGGAAAGAGAACTACATCTAGTACATTAATATGCATGTGTGGAGAATAAGTGGATTTTTCATTGTTCCTCTAAGCTGAAGGTTTTTCTCAAACTTAACTGGTTAATGGGATTAGGTGTCTTTTGCTTAAATGAAATATATATCTTTTGTCATGGTACGCAGCCGACCCTTTGTTGGGATATGAATCTGTATTTTGGTCCCTTTATTTTCTTGATTGGCTGACACTAACTTATGATGATGAACTAGATTAAGTTCTCTATCTGTAAAATTGTTGGATGAGGTGATAATGCATAGTGTGTATCAATTCTTGCCCTTCTCATTCCGAACACTACTAACAGAATAAGAAACAGAGATCGAAATATAATTTTTATTCTTTGGAAGGGGAGTAGTGCAGTTATGTTGGGGAATAGAGCGTGTTTCATTCAACATAAAGAAGGTGACCCTTCCAAAACTCTTGTTGAAGTTAATTCTGCTTTTTGCAGGCAAGAAGGTTAGTAAAGCTCCCAAGATTCAGAGGCTGGTTACTCCATTGACTCTCCAGAGGAAGCGTGCTAGAATCTCAGAGAAGAAGAAGAGAATTGCAAAGGCCAAGGCAGAGGCAGCTGAGTACCAGAAACTACTTGCCACAAGGCTGAAGGAGCAGCGGGAGAAACGAAGTGAGAGCTTAGCAAAGAGGAGGTCAAGGCTCTCTGCTGCCTCCAAGCCATCTACCGCAGCATAGATTGGTTCTAGAGTTTTGTGAACGTTGGATCATTCTAGTACACTCAGTTTATGTAGTTTTTTCATATCAATGCAGGCACTTTGCCATAGATGTGATGTTTTGTTTATTGTTTAAGACGCCCGAGAGTTTAGTTGTTTTGAGCAAGAGTTTACTGCCCCGTGTGCGTGCTTTCTTGGCTTGTGCAATGTTGTTTATTGAATTATATAGTGCTATATTTTATCTCCCATACTGAAAGCCTTGCCTACTCTTCTACATCTTGAGCAATCTTTTGTACATGAATTATTCCTCTTATCTGATTTGATCCTTTTGTATCAACCTTTCATGTCAAGATTCCATTCAAGAGAATATGAACCTTGGGACATATGTTTTAAGAAAGCACTCTGGCTGATACCAATCCAGCGGCCAGTGCAGCTCCGAACAAAGCATGTAGTCTTACACAATAATATTTTGCCATGAAAATCTTCCCTTCGTCCTGCAAGAATAAAGTACCATAAGAAACAGAAGAGAAAACTCGGGAAAATCTAAACATAAACTGGACCCCCTTCATCAATTCCATAATCCAGAGGATAACTAATTGCAGTGCATTGAAACACCATTCTGGGTGGCAGTTAAGTGATCCAACCAGAGCATTTGCATAGGTTCAATTGTTTTTCTCTTTTGCATCTTTGGCACTCTCTTCGGAGGCATCATGTAAAAGTTTAATGCTCACCAAGTGGTTCTCTTGAACAAATCTAACTACCAGTTTCCCAATGGGTAATGTCAAAGCACATAAAACCTGAGGAAGCCATGACACCGACACAAAACAAGCAGTAAGCATACTTAAAAAAAGAGAACATAAATATTAAATGGATCTAATGCAAGAGCTTTACCAATTTAAATTTTACTCACAATGCAACTGAGTGGCAGAGCTCTGCTTAGACCAGAAGCAAATAATAGAGTATATAGTGTCATGACTGCCCCTTTCACTACTGCAGAACCCCTCCTAGTACCCAGCCTGACCTGCAGAAGGTAGAAAGGGGAAAAAAGAACAAATGGATCAGCTGCTTACACCCAAAGAACACAAAGACCAGTATACGCACCAATGGTGACATTTTTCCAACAGCCAGATCCCCTTCAATCTGTGTTATAAAACATTCATGTTATTATTGTTATTAACAAAACAAGACTTGTCTTTCAATACTGAAGAACAGAAAGAGCAAAACAAAACTACCTGATGAAAGTGGCTACAAAAAAGAATCAGGGATGTCGTGAAGCCTATGAGGAATGAAGCAGAAAGAACAGTGCCAGTTAAGGGAAGGGAAGTCATGCCACTGTCAAAACCACCCATGTAAATATATTAATGGATAAAGATGTTGAGAAGTCCAAAAATATATTGTCTTTGTTATATAATAACCTTGTGCTTCCCAGCAACAGGTAAAATGCTGTGGTAGCAAATGGGCCAAAAGCTGCGAAGCATAAGGGCTCACCCAATCCTTGGTAGCTTAACCTAAATGGTGGGCACTGCAAGAGATAAGACAGATATAAAGAACCCCATTTCCCCTGGTGGATAGCTGGATGGGTATGGTGATTCAAATTTCAAAAAGCATTTCTCACTACTAAGAAATAAGAATATATTAAAATATAGGTATGGCAAAGCTTCAAAAACAATAAAAGTCAATAAGTATTAACATTTACCAAATTTAGTTGTTGAGAAATACAATAACCAAGCTTCATAGTAGACCACTGCACTACTTGATGCGGCAACAACCGCAACAAGGTGTGTGTGCTAGAGCAATTTATGACAAAAATGAAATTAAATGTTTCAAATGTATTTAAGAAACTCTATCACTGTACCTGATATATATAACCACAAATAATTGCACAGGACAGTAATAATATTGAACGCATGTTTCTTGCATCTGCAGATGCCCAAGTCAGCCCAAAAAAGCCTAGGAAAAGTGACAAGTAGGCAGCAATAATGGCAGCAGAACGGCTTCCAAAATGCATTGAAGGGTAGTTTTCCGTCAGAACATAAGAAGATCAAACAAACAAAAAGGAATAGGATAAATAGGGAAAAAACAATCAGCTTACCTGCCAACCAAGTTTACGACTGATTCTTTTTTGTTCTTATCTGCCCCCGTGTCAAAATCATAAACATCATTGCTGCCCATCAACCAAATAAGAAAATTTTATCAGCTTAAAGGATATAGACTCAACTCTGCTGACAGTTTGATGTTACATTAAGCAAAAATGCAGCTGCAGGTGGAAAGGAAAAAAGAACAGAAGACACTGACAATTACTTGAATGACCTTTAAACCCAGCAACAAAAGGGGAAGAATGTAATACGCACTCAAATTACTTCTCTGATATAGTACTTGCCTTAAATTGAGCCAAGTTATAATGAGGACCGAAGAAGCCAAGATAAGAAAATAACGCCTAGATAAAAATAGGCCTGTTTGCAAATAGGCTGCTGCACTACCTACCTGTTAACAACATTTAAAAATAGTATGATGCAGGTAAGATGTCTAAATGTATGGGATGGTAAATTAGTGAACTACTAAAATTTTATATCAATGAAAAGTAGAAAGCAGAATAAGTTTAAGAACCACATTCCTAACTTTGAACCATCTAATATGCAATTTAGGAATTAATATGCTGGTGAAACTCACAGTCAATGGAACCAAAGCAACAGAGTAAATTGGCAACTTGATTGCTCTCCATATCAAGGTTGCTTTTGTAACCTCTTCCTTTCCCTCCTCATGCGCATTTTCAGAATGGTATGCTTTACTCACTGAAACGATCTCCTGCCTCAATCTTCTTCCTCTTTTGAAAACCATGTGAGCATCACCATAAAAATGAAATGATCCCTTCAAACCATTCCCACAAGACCTGAACAAAAATGAGTTTCAGTAAACTCAGAGATATAACCCACAAACCCTCCCTCTCGCTTCCCTCTCCTTCCATCCCAGGATAAAGTAGAGAGGTACAAAATTGGGTTAGGAAGTAATTTCTATTAGCAACATTAAGCATGAATAAAAACTGAAACTTGCCTTGTCTTGTAATCATGCTTTGTGGAGCATTCATGGAGGTTCCTCAGACCAGACCCTGGACATAAGGAGAAGCTAGAGGCCGCCAGTGGCATTGACATGTTTCAATGCTAACTAAATTGGGGCATCATAAATGGTGGAAAATAATGAGAAAATTGAAGCAAATAGAGTGGAACAACTAAAGTAAGGAGCTTTATTACCTCTTTTAATCTTCTTGGAGCTGAAAATGGTGCATTTCTCTCCTGCTTTGGATCAGACAGTGGCAAATTATGACGGTTCCAGAAATCAAAGAACTCCGAAGGATAACATTAGAACAGACAGAATCTTAATCCTATCAGGATCCGGAATGCCGGCCATGTAAGCATCTTTGTCAAGCCTGACCCAAATATACAGGTCCATGGCTTAGAGAAATATGACGTGATCCATAAGGCTTCTGGGCTCCAGTTTGGACTTTGAAGATTTATTAATTTCTTATTTTTCTTATCTCTGCTGGTCCGTTGTTCTAGTTTTTATTTAGTTGGGTTTTAGGTTTTTTGGGTTATCCATTACCAAAAGTGAAAAAATTAGTTCTACAATTCTTGGTTCAAAAATAGGCATTAAGAAATAAAACTAAAAATACTAAGAAAAAACTTCAACAAAATTGATATTATTAACTTAAAAATTTTGATTTAAAATTAAGATTAAAGGTTGAAATCTACCGCGTGGCAACGCTTCAATGTGAAAATAAATAAATAAAACGTAAAAATAAAAGGATTTTTTTAGCCTATTAGTAAATTAAAAACTAATTTTTATTTTTTTCAATATAAGTTAATTATCAAAAAAATATATTAATTAATTACATCTTTAAAGGAAATGTTTGAAAAAAAAAGAGAGGAAATTTTCCTTATACATCTATCAAGATTTGCTTTATTATTTAGTGAAGATTTAATTTTAAATCTTATGTAAGTAAACATGTTTTAATAAAATTATTATAAGTATATCAAGAATTTTTATAATACTTATAATAGCCTTTTATGATGTAATAATTAAAGTATTAAATTTTTATC